CTAGGCAATTGAAGCCGCGCACTCAAAGCAGGCTCTTGAGGTCCTTCCGTCCTGATTCCTACTGGCTGTCGACCTTGGCGATGTAGGCTGCACGCACGGGTTAGATAACTGCTCAACATTGCTTGACAAAAATCTTCAAACTTACCAATGAGGTCAACAACACGGCGGGAGTAACCCCACTCGTTGTCGTACCAGGAGACGAGCTTGACGAAGTTGGGGTTGAGGGCGATACCGGCCTTGGCATCGAAGATGGAGGAGTGGCTGTCACCGTTCAGGTCGGAGGAGACAATGTCGTCCTCGGTGTAGCCAAGAACACCTATGGGATGGTCAGCAAGAAATTCAGCCGTAAACCACCAACAGAGCACTTACCCTTGAGCTCGCCCTCGGAGGCAGCCTTGAGGGTCTGCTTGATCTCGTCGTAGGTGGCAGACTTCTCGAGACGGCAGGTCAAGTCGACAACGGAAACGTTGGCGGTGGGGACACGCATGGCCATACCGGTGAGCTTGCCGTTGAGGGAAGGAATGACCTTGCCGACAGCCTTAGCAGCACCAGTGGAAGAGGGGATGATGTTCTGGGCAGCGGTACGGCCACCTCTCCAGTCCTTGCTGGAGGGGGCATCGACAACCTTCTGGGTGGCAGTGTAGGAGTGGACGGTGGTCATGAGACCCTCAACGATACCGAACTTGTCGTTGATGACCTTGGCGAGGGGAGCAAGGCAGTTGGTGGTGCAAGAGGCGTTGGAGAGAACGTTGATGTCCTTCTTGTACTCGGTGTTGTTGACACCCATGACGAACATGGGGGCATCGGCAGAAGGAGCAGAGATGATGACCTTCTTGGCACCACCCTTCAAGTGAGCAGAGGCCTTCTCCTGGGTGGTGAAGACACCGGTGGACTCGACAACGTAGTCGGCACCCTCCTGACCCCAGGGGATGGCAGCGGGGTCACGCTCAGCGAAGAAGCGGATCTTCTTGCCGTTGACAACGAGGCCCTGCTCGTAGGTCTCGATGGTACCGTTGAACTTGCCGTGGGTGCTGTCGTACTTGAGCATGTAGGCCTACATAATGAGCATCAAGCTCGGTCAGCCAGTGGCTCTTTGCTGCTGGTAGAAGATATTGGCAACCACATACAGCATAGTGGGTCTCAATGAAAGGGTCGTTGACGGCAACAACCTCGACATCACCAGAGTTGATGCTGTAGACAAGCTGTTAGTACCAATTGGTTGCCGAAACGTCTGGATCCATTATTGGAGCCGCAGTGATAGCACTCACGCGTTACGGAAGACCTAAAGGAGGGGTTGTTAGAATGGGTCTCATTCGCAGCAAGAGTCAAGACCACTCACAATACGTCCAATACGACCGAAGCCGTTGATACCGACCTAGAATTGATTAGGTGAGTAACAGCGCGATGAATACCGAGCTCAGTGCCTTCACTAGGCGTACCTTGGGAGCCATTGTGTAGATGTGTCTGTTTGGCGGGGTAGCTGGTTAGTGAGGCGCTTGGAGACGGAACGGTAGCTTGGCGGGAGGGAGGGGGAGGTATACTAGGTACACAGATGGGAAGAACAGGAAAAGAATGGATGCAGTGGGGAAGGAACTTACTATTTGGATGAAGTTACTTGGGGAGAAAGATGGGAGAGAAGATGATGATGGAGGGAGAAAGAGAGAGAGCAAGAGAAAGGAAAGAAAAGTTTCCCAACAGGCGGGGGAGGGGAAGGTAGAAAAAGGATAGCGGGACAGACAATCGACTGACGCAACGACCCGGTCACTACACCGAACAGACAGACGGGGCAAAGGCTGCGGCAAGCTCTGCCACGCTGCCACCAGAATGGACCAGATTGGGGAGAATTACCAGAAACACCCAGAAGGACGCCAAGCTGGTCAGCGTGGGATTTGCCCTATTGATTGTCCCGACATGGGCCGCTCCCCAGTTCCCCCATAGCCTTTTCCGGTTTCATACACCGGGCAAAGCAGGAGATTCACGATATCTGGGCCTCCCAGACTTCCCACCTTACCCCTCGGCAGCTGCCGTCTGGGCCAATGAGCGAGCTATAAAGCTATCACGCCGGGTACTCACTCCAAATCTCGAGAATCTTTTACTAGCATCGTCGGAATTGCTGCTTGCTCCTCTTTTCGTGATGCTTGAGAGCCTAGGTAAAGACAGGTCATTCTCGCGCATCTACGGGACTGGAATTAGCCGAGGTGATGCATTGAGTGCAGTGGTGTTATGATCCATGTTGTGTTAGGGTAGAAGAGGAGAGACACCGAAGGAATGATGTAACAACATGCCACCACTCCCTGACACTACTATACTTTCATTCCCCAATTCAGTCAGTCACATTGGAGTATCCGTACAACTGAGCAACTCAGACAACCCACCACCATCAGCCCCAATAACCCCAATAACCCCAACTGAAAGGAGATACCGGGTGCCCGCAATCGGTCCATCCATGATCTTACTAAGATTTGCCGCATCCAGCTTTGGCCCGTCTTGATTTGCTCGGTTCGGGCTTATGATGATCCTCCTTCTCCCCCTCTTGGCAATCGTGCCCCTCCATCTCTTTTTATCCGCCCTGGCTGGACCATTGCTTGGAACGCTGAAAGCGGGTCTGGGGAGAGCTTCAACTGGACTTTAACACCGAAGGTGCCTGAAAAGATTCACCGGCGACCATGTCAACCTTCACGCGCTGGGTCCCAAGTTGAATTTTTCATTCCTCTTTTTTTTGTCGGGCTTTGATCCTTCTGTGATTAGTGGAAGACTGCAGGGTTCTGCCGCTCTGTGCGAAACCATCAATGTCCAATTGCAATGGAAAGAAAGAAATCATGACACTCAACAGTTCGAGCAGCAGCAGCAGCAATGACACACAGTCTTCGAGTCATCAATGGAAGCACAGCATGACCTACAATGAAAGGATTAGAAATACAGAATCAGCCTCCGGAGGCAAATTTCTGGTGCCCTGGATCCGGAGTAAGGCCTCAGGCAGGCGGATAAGTCCGGCAGTCAAAGCGAACTGAGGAACCCCCCTCGCTTCTATTATCGGGGTCTGACTCCACAATATGAGCACATCCAATTCCGTTGTTACCGCCATCCCAGCTGCAGATGACAGGTTTACGGATCTGCGGCATTATTTCGCTCGGTTTGCAAATAGAAATAGCACCTTACTCAAGAAGAATTGAGGCCAATTCGGTCATAGTCAGCGAAGTAATCATCAACTCTATCGCCACTTTGTCATTCATATGACTCGATGATGAAGGCGTCTGCTTGAGAACGTTGAAGCAGATACATGCCCATAAATTCATGAACAGGCGGTAGGATAGCCTGCTAACCAAAGAATTTACCGATAACTTGACTACGAAAAAGAGAAAAAAGAGAAGAATATCGTAAACCCATCGGCACTATCATTAAAAGTGAAGATCAAAGCAAAGCAGCAGCAACGCAGCTCAACTCGACTCCGCTCCAATGGCAAGGCATCTATAAAATACAAGAGGTACAAAACATGTGCGAACTATCGCGCATCTGTTACCCAAGGCCTCTCAATCTACTCCTCCTTGACACCACCCCGCCAGTTCTTCTCGGCGCTCTCGACCGAAGCCTTGTCGGTCTTGACCTGGCCCTGGTTCATGAAGCTGTTACCAGACTTGAAAGGGCGCTGAAGGTCACCGGTAGCAGGCTTGCCGAAGATGTGAATCTTGACCAGGTTGGACTCAAAGGCACTCTTGAGAGGGATGATCGACTGGATCAAGAGGGGGTTGGTGTACTTGAAGTAGAGGTGCATCACACCCATCATGCCGACACCCATGAGTTGTCCACGGATCAGCTGGCGCAGCTGTCCCTTGTCGTACTCAGCGTTGGTGGTAGTCACCGGGCGAGGCTCCTCGTTGCTACCCATGGGGGCAGGCTCGACATACTTGAGCGTAGTCAAGTCTGGGGATTCGTTAGTGAATGTTGATCCTCACTCCGGCCACTCCAGACATACCATTCTTTTTGTTGATCTTGGCTTGAGTATACAAGTAGAGACCCAGGATGATCACGTTGGACAAGATGTACATGCAACGAACAAGAAGGAGGACATCAGGGTTCTCGAAGGGGACCTTCTTGGCCAGCTGCATCATCACCACGATGATGGCGAGGTTGGTACTGCGACAAAGAATGAGGCTGTCAGCGATGCCATTTTCGGGAGGCGACAATGATTTCTGCTTCGACTCTGGTGAGGAAGGCTTCGAAAGAACTCACATTTGAGGGGACACCATCTTGACGGATTGAGCAGCAGTGCTGGAGGCCTAAGGGGACCCTTTGGTGATGAGGAGCAGTGCGCGATGGGGTGAAACAAAGATGGAGACACGCGTGCAAGGACAGAAACTTCCTAAACTGCGAAACTGGAGCCCCGGGAAAGTGTGCCAGCTGTCCTGATAGCGTAGTGTCACGTGGCCGAGATTCGCCACTATCGGTATAGCGCTATCTATGCCACACGCGACCCAGATAACGTCAGCGATAAGCAAAGCTGTTGTGGCCTTACGCTTAAGGCATAAAGCTAGCCCACCTGGCTGGCAAGCGCACTTAGAGATCACCTGTTCTGATTATGTAACCAGTCCAGCGACCATCATGCTCTGCACACTCTCCTACCAACCTCAACTGCCTCTCTACATACAGTCAAGAAACCTCCACCCTGCACCATCTGATGCAGCTCGAGACCACTCGACATGAAGAGCAACCTGGAGAGAAGCTATTGAGTGCAATGGCTTTTCCTGACAAAAGTGTTTTCTTGGGCCATCGCTGCATCAAGACTTGAATGACTCGACCCAGCGGTGGTATAGACACTTCAATGACTAACCTCTCCCCAGACTGTCTATTTGGTTGCTGATTGCTGATTGAGTCTTACCTCGTGCTTCTGCAATGAGTCTTCGGAATCTACAACGGCAACCAAAACTATGCTCTCTGGTGAGGCCAGCCGACTGGCATACTCTATGCTGATCGAGACCTCTCCGTGGTAGGCAGCTGAGCAGGTTCCTCAATCGGGACTAGCGTCGCTCCACGTTCGACGCCCGTCTTTAGCGACCAGGATGGCTTTGACATTTCTGACTCCTTCAACCATCAACAACGCGCGTGCTTGAGGTGCATCGGATCGCTACAACATCCACCATCGCACTCCACCCCTTTTAATCCTCGATTGACGCGACATTTTCACCCTTCCGGTCCCACCCCTCGAAACTATTCACGATGCCTGGCGGAAAGGGAAAGTCCATCGGTGGAAAGGGTGGCTCCAAGGACTCTGCGGGGAAGAGCCAGAAGTCTCACAGCGCAAAGGCCGGTCTGCAGGTCCGTAATTCCAGTCTCTTCCTTCCTTCCTCCTGGGAGTGGTGTCGGTCACGGCGTCCATCGGCAAGTCGCGGGAACGCGTGGATGGGACAGCTGTAATGGGAATTTTTTCCCTTTGCCCCTCACGCATGCTGTCTCCTGCCGTTTAGCTATACTTGGTCTGCTCTCTGATTCAGATGGTCGCTTGTGCATTTATGGCTCACAAGCGCGCTGGCTGTTGCCGCACGAAGCAAGAGACCCGGTCATCCGCGCCTTCGAACCCCCCTCCCAACACCCACCCTCGAGTCTGACTTTTGACCCCAACATGCATTCATCTATTGCTCCTGCTTTTGATCCGTAAACTAACATCTAGTTGTTAAGTTCCCTTGTGGACGTGTTAAGCGTTTCTTGAAGAACAACACACAGAACAAGATGCGCGTTGGTGCCAAGGGTATGCCCATCTGTCGCACAGTGTCCTCTTCACTGCTGCTAACATCTCCCTTCTTCTCCCAAAATTTGCTGACAAATACCACCTACAGCTGCTGTCTATGTCACTGCCGTCCTCGAATACTTGACCGCCGAAGTCCTCGAACTTGCCGGAAACGCTGCCAAGGATCTGAAGGTCAAACGTATCACGCCTCGTCACTTGCAGCTCGCGATCCGTGGAGACGAGGAACTGGATACTCTCATCCGTGCTACGATTGCCTTCGGTGGTGTCCTGCCACGCATCAACCGCGCACTACTGCTGAAGGTCGAACAGAAGAAGAAAAGCAAGACTGACGCTTAAAACCCTCTTAACGGCGGACCGGATACCCGACGAACAAACGGCGTTTCGATAATGATGAATTCAGACCCCGGGGGTGGATTAAGCCCGTTTTTCTATGCCTTTAGTCTTCACCTCGCCCTTGGCCCTTGACCAGCATGATCCGAAGGTCTCCAGGAGTGGATACAACGGGCACGTTTTCTTAACCTCCCCCGGCACGTTACCCGTTCGAAATGTTTCTTTAGCTCTGTTTGTCTCTTTCTGCTTTCTTTCATGTGCTTATCCCCCCGACAGTTTTTTTCTATCCTTGTCTCCACTTAAACTTCTCGTTTTCATTTCTATCCAGGGCGCTGTAATGGGAAAAAGGGAATATCTCGGCAGTCGGTTTTATTGATTTTCTATTCTTCTCGTGTTGCTGCTGTTGACGTGTCTATCTATTTTTCTCCATGTCTCTTTATAATCTACTATGAAATGGTGTTGTTTGTGCTGATAGCACTTGGCGAGACTGGTTCGGATATATCCTCCCTTGTCACATGATAAAACAGATTGACTTTTGGTTAGAATTGCGGACTATTCTTGGAGAGAGCGGTGCGTTTGAGAGTAACTGACAGCAGATCAAGGCATAGAAGCCCAACCCTCTTTTAAAGGCCAATTCTTACAGTAAACAGATCTATCGATGCATATTATAGACGAGCATTGCTGCGTGCCAGTCAGCTGTATTGCGTGAGGACAACCCTAATCAATAGTTTGGAAGGGACAATAGAACCGAATTTGTACAAACCTTTAGCCCAGATGATGGACGACAGAAGAAACAACCGCGGATCCGGGAGCGTCGAGTCTGGTAGGTCGGTCCTGGGCAGAAAATATATAATATAACCTTCAATCTACCCGACTGAGCACGCAGCACGGGACAGTGCAGAACACCATCATTGCCAATCCACAGCAACTACATCTCACTCAACACCGGGATCTAGATATAGAGAGGGAGAGGGAGAGAGCAAATGGTGTAACTACAAGTAGTCAGCCCAATGAAGTTCTCTACTTGTCAAGCGCTGAATACCCTGGAACAACACGCCACAGATAGTGCAAGCCGTACGTATTCTACAAGTCCGCCCAGCCCTTTCAATACCCCGGACCTGACCTCTTAATCACTAAACACATTGGTGTACTCGAGGACATCCGGGAGTGAGAAAACGATACCTTCAAACAGACAAGAGACCCCGAGATTCAATAGGCAATCAATACATTACACCTTAGTACTCGACAGTCTAGTAGTAGAAGAGACGGAAAAGACAAAAGCTCAATAGCTGATACACAGTACACGTACAAAGTTCATGTCGATCATATTTAAGGAGAAAGAAAAAAAAAAAAAAAAAAAGAACAAACCCATCCACCCATCGTTTGAGACTGTTGCCCTGGCATCAAAACATAAGGCAACGGCCAAGCAGAAACTCTTGAGCAGCCAGCAAAATGCAAGCACCCGTTCCGAACCGTTGTTCTTCTTTCCCACCGAAAACTGGAAACCATTGCATGCATCAGGACTTTCCGCCCCAATGCGCCCTCTTCTCGAGAGGTGTCCATGCGATAAGATTCATCAAACGATATTAACTGGATTACAAATGCACGGACAAGTCCTCAGATATAAGAGCCCGGTCAAAGGAAGGAAACAGTCCAGGCATCAGGCGCAACGCAGATGCAAATGCAGCCTTGTGAGGGAGACCGACCCAACGAGGTCCAGCCACACAATATGAGTGCCTAAACTCGTATAAGAAGAAGTCGAGAACAGAGATTGGCATAAAGAGCGAATGAAAGGGGAGAAAAGGATAAAAAAAAAAGAGAGAGAAAAAAACATTAATTGATGCAGATCGCCCCATATACAAACAGATAAACAAACAAGAAAGAAAGAAATAGTGAAGATGCAAATGCTGGTAGGTCATCATCTCTCTTGCTAAATTGACAGACATCGGAGTTCTTTTTCTTTTCTGTGGTCGTCCTTCGTAGTCTTCTTTCCCTCGAAAATAAAATCAGATTTTATCTTGCTTTCCGCCGACCCAACTTGATCGAGCTTCAGGGGTTATAAGATCTGAATAGATAGTGATGATTCTGCATGCAAGGCGCCCGCGTCTCAAAAGTTCAGAGATTTCTTTTTTCTGATGTGATTTTTTCCGCGCAGCAAGGAGAAAACATAAAGTGTCCGTTCAAATAGCGTGCCTGCTGGGCTGCCCCAAAAATAACGTCTAAACTTGGCTAGATCAGAGAAATATTCTTTTGTGGTTCTCTCGGTAGAGTGTCATCTCGTCATCCCTCATCGAATCGTAAGCCAATAATCGCAGAACAGGATCAGGCCTCGTGATATAAGAGTCGTATGCATCTTGCGGCAAAGCAATCTAACAAGTTTCGTCGTCTTCGTCTCCCATCAATAGATTTTACTCCACAATAATTTCCACTCCGGAGCTGGTGCGCAACTCATCACTCCCACGCGTTTGGTGTCCGGTCGGGCGTCGAAATCCTGGACCTTTCTCGGGCATCGGGCCTCGCGGCTGTCTAACGGGCATGCGCTCCTGTGACTGTCCGTCAAATCCAACTCCGATGGATCGGTTACTACCAATGGGACCAGCGCTGGAGGGTTGACTTTCCGGCTGCTCCCAAGAAAACATACCCCTCAATCTCCGCGGGCTCGCGTTAGGCCCTCCAATCCCAGTTCCCAAAGAAAGACTGCTCAGACTGTTCACCAACAGGCTGTCGTCACGCTGCATGCCGAGAGAGGAGCCGGACGGGGCGGACGTCAGGGTAGGGGTGTTGGACGTGCCGCTGGTAGTGCCGTCATAGTGCTGAAGGCGTGCGCCGTTGGACTGCAAGGCGGCAGGGAAGCTCGCAGAAGAGGGCACGGGCGAGGGGGTGTACGAGCGCAAGTCGGCAAACGATTTCGCCGCCCGCAGGTTCTGTGTGTTCCCGAAGTTGCCAGGGGAGTCCAAGACTCCGAGGAAACCAGATGGCTGTCCGCGCAGGGTGTTGAAAGGGGTGGGTCCGTCGCCCCGAGACTCACTGAAATCAATGGTGGCCGCGCGGTTGAGTCCCCGACGTGCCGTTTCAACCGGTTGCACTGGGGCAGGGATAGACGACATGGGCGGGCTCACATTAGTACCGGGTGCAACCTTGAAGACTTGGACCTGTCGCTGCTCTCCCGACCCACGGGACGCATGCCCAAGTCCCATGTTGTGGGCAAGAGTGTGGACCGTACGGCGCTGGATAGGCGAAAGGTTGGCCGGGAACACCATGGAGTCGCGGGCAGTATCCTCCTTGAACAGCAGCAGTTGCGAGTAATACGACAGGGTTGTGCTGTCATTCAAATCGACGTCTGTGGACAGATGAGGATCGTTAGCGATACACAAACAGCGCGAAATCATGAGAAAGCATCTTACCCAGCTTCTGACCCCGCTGCGACACGGGCGACGGAGAGGTCGCGGGAAGGTGGGAGGTGAGAGAGGACATGGAGCTCTGAGTCTGCAGCTGCGAGGTGGCCATCGGACGGTGCTGTTCTTCCAACTGGCCACGGCGCTCGCGCTTCTCACGCTCAATCCGCTCGCGCTCCTGCAGAGGGAGCATTTTCTTATATTCAACCCGCAATTTCCGACCCTGCAGCTCGAAATGGTTCAGAACCTCGATGACGGTCGCAGTTTCCTCTGCGGAAGTAAAATTGGCGAAAGCCAGTCCTCGAAAGACACCGTTGTCGAAATGGTAATTGAACGCATAGGGAAGTGGCAGGTTAAGCTCAGTCATGAGCTGAACCAATTGCTCCTTCTTGACTGCGAACGGAATGTTCTTGATGACAATGGCCGTTGGAATCAGCTCATCATCTGCCTCCGAAGGGCCCGTCGGTTCCTGGCGCATCGCGTTACCCTGAAGAGGACCGGGGCCAAGGTTGGAAAAGCCGCTCGGGATGCCCGGCTGCTGGTCGAGCCACGTCTATGGGAATGGAGTTAGCGGACGCAACATAACAGTAAACCAGTCAGGGGCGAGCGGGACATACAGTTGGCAAACCAGCTCGACCGGTGCGCGAGGTGGTCTTCAAGCTGGCCGATGCGGATCGGATGCCTCCCAGCGCTTGGGCGTTGGCGAAACCATTGGGATTCCACGTCTGAGAGCCCGCCAGGTCGTAGGCATAGGCGTTGTTGTGCAACGAGGAGTTCAGGCGCTCCAGCCGGCCAGAATCGTAGCGAGCCATTGAGTCCTCATACAGATTCACTGGCATGGGGCCGTACGCGTCAAATTGTCGCGACGGCTGGCGGTGCAGAGGTTGCTGGTGACGCTGGGAGCCAGGAGAACGCGCCGAAGAATTGTCATGATACATTTCCTGAGCTTGTTGATAACTCATGGCGACGGAGAGATTGTGAATTCCCAAGAAACAACCAACCCGAGGAATGTGGGCACTGAGATCCACCACACAACGATTCGTTCAATGAGAAGCCGATATTCGGAAGGAACTATTCAAACATAGGAGCGACCGACAAGGCGCTAGGACAAGCAACAGGTAAATCACCCAACGACACTAAGTCACGGATGATGATCGAGTCGTGCGGAATTTCGAAATTCGGAAGGAAACGGTCGAAGATAAGATCAACCACCAACGAGAAGCGGATGACCTAAGTCGGCGACGATTGAGAGTGAAATAAAGAGGGGGAATGCGAAGAAGCGAAGAGGAGACTAAATCGCAGGCGAACTAATTGTCTCGTGACGAAAGGGTCATCAAATGGCCGTATGAATCCTCAGGCGTTAATCGGTTTCAGGAACTTTTTTTCTTCCCACTTCCCTAGGAATATTAGAAACGGGCAGGAAGGGCAAATGGAATGGAGATCAGAGGAAGGGGCAGGGAGAAAATAGAAAATGATGCGAAAAAAAAGACAATGACTATGATGAGGATAATAACAAACAAGTGAATAAGAGAAAGAGGAAGAGAAAAGAAAGGGAAGAGAAATTGCCACTACTTGGGTGAGTGGGGGGGAGGGGTGGAGGATGTAGTGGTAGTGGTAGTGGTGGTGGTGGGTGTTGAGGGTGGGAGAGACACCAGGAATCCGACCTGGTGTGTGCGGAAGGCCGATGTGAAGACGAGGCCCGGAATAGTGGAGAAGGGGGAGAAGGAGGTGGTGGGTGATGGTGGTGAGGGGAGGAGGGAGAATAGGAAAAGAAAAGAGAACGAAGCAAGTAGCAGGAGGTGGTCCGGCAGGAGGAGAGAAAAAGGGAAGAAAGGACAGGGACGGAAGGGGGGGGGGGGGGGGGGGGGGGGGGGGGGGGGGGGGGGGGGGGGGGGAGGGAAGACTGAGACTGAGGGAAAGTAAAGTGTAATTGAAGCAGCAGAGAACAGAGCAG